AAGGACGGGAAGCCGGTGGCGGAGTTGGCGATGTCGTCGGCCGTGGTGGTGAAGCGGGGGTTGAGGCCGCGGAGAAGGTTCAGGACAAGCTGCGAGTCCTGAACGGGATGACCGACGTCGCGGAGGTCGTCGGCGAGGGTCTTCATGCGGCCGCAATACTCGGCGATGGTGGAGTCGCCCTGCGTCATGGAGTGGAAATCATGGCTGAGGAAGATCGCCCGGGCCTGCCTGTTGGCGCGGAAGAGGCCCTCAATGGCGAGCCAGAGGTCCCGGGCGGTATGGTTGTCGTCGGTCATGGCGAGGTCGAGGATGGAGTCGTCGACGAAGCCAAAGAACCGAGGCGGATGCGCGATCCGCTGATCCTAGGCGAGGATCACGGGGCGAGGTGGCATCGTGCCATTGATGTGCGACCGGAGGCCGAACTTGCCGCACAAAGACTTGAAGTAGGACACCCATCTGGAGTAGGCAGTGGACTTCATCGTCACCGTCACGGGAATATGGGACTTGACGTTGACAGTGGCATATGGTTGGACGGTGGGGAGATGAAGCCATCATTTAGGCGTGGCGTGTGCCGCCGCAGAACACCAGAGAAACTACCGATGGCGATGGGCGACACAGAGGTGCCACCATTGGCGTGACCGACGAGTGACACATGGCCAACAAGAAGGGGTCAGGGCGGTGGCCATGGCACAAGAGAGCGGAAGAGGAGGGAAGGTGCGGGGAGGAAGGGAAGAAGGGCGCAGGAGAAAGGAGAAGGTTCGAGGATCTAATTAGGCGATACCATGTAGAAAGGATATGGGAAAACACCTAACCCCTAATGAGGGGGTGACCTCTATTATATAGCCAATCGGGCTTGATATATATGGAATACAATCGGTGTACATGGAAAGAATAAACAAGCTTCCTAATAAACATATATACTTCCTAATACTTTCAGCAAAAATACAAATAGTACAACATGAGGAATAGGATAAAAAAAAGAAGATGGCAAAACAGGTGAATCTGAAAACTGCTATTGGCATAGCACAGGTGAACATGTACACAATTATACAACCATACCTTTGACCATAAACATCTACTTCTACACTCAGATGAGTCAGATTCTCTAGAAGAGAGATTTGCAATTTATCCATGCATTTTTTGGCGACTCTAAGAAGACTTTCCCAAGCTCCAAGTCAATCAATGTGCAGATAGAGCTCAATTCGGGAACCTGAATATATGAAAATCGCCTAAGATTAGAAGCAAGCCCTCAATACATATTTGATAAGTAATTTTGTGCAACTCTATTTATGAATCATTAAGGAATAACTTTTCCCTGTTCATGTAAAATATATTATAAAGATGGCAGTTAAAATATATTAGAAAAGTAAACTTCTTTCGCAAACAACACCCTAACGAACATTTTCCTACTTTCCAAAACCACTTCGCACAAAATAGTGGATGGTTGCAAATCATGCATTTTTTTCGCAATAGGGGAATATAGCCCGTTTTTCATTAAGCAGAGAGAATTACACGACGCAGCTACGAGAGAACCCTCGTAGCACAGATTACAAACCACCAAGCTAGTGGTGAGTGAGCTGGAATAGAAACTAGGAACAAGAAAAATGATACAAAGAGAGGCGATTTGCCCACGACACCTAAACCTACAAACTGAGCCTGTAAGAAAAAAGGATACAACATCGCAATGGTCGCCTACACGGAAGACTGTCCAGCAATTGTTTCCTACATCACAAAGAGAGAATAATATGAATCACCCCAGAATGGCAATCGCTATTCAGTTAGATAATAAGAGAATAGGTGTTACAGCTGAAGAAACACATTATGTCTATAAGTTCCTTACCTGAAATAGCTGTCAGCCTCCCATTCTGATAATTGTGCAAAAGCAAATCCTCACCTCTTCTTTGGTTTGAGTGTTTTGAAACCTTAAACAACCTATCACTCTCATGATTCTTTGATGGATCAACAACCTCTTCGACATCAACTGCTGATACAGTAGCTCCTTTGCTCAGCGCATATCTATAAATGCATTATTAAGGGGACACATAATCTACAGTGCCCTACACCAATGTGCATTATGGCACAGTGTCAACTTGAATTTCTCAGCTTTCGAAATAGACTGCTAATGAAAGAACCCATTTTGAAAAGAAAAAAAAATTCAAAATGAGAGCTTTATAGAACCTACTGTGAAGGGAATAGAAAGGAAAAATAGCTGTTTTGCCATATATCTGAGGGCATCAGAGTATAAAGATATGTAGCTATGACGCATTGCACCATTGGAGCATGTACTTGCATAATGATATATACATTAACTAGTCAGTAAGTAGAGTAGTAATGGTAGGATACTCTCTTATCCCAAGCACACTATTATGATTTTCCATTGTGTACATATAGCAACTGTCTCTACTCCATGGAAAACATTCACCAACAAGTTTCAGAGCTGATGTCGCCCCTGATGTAAATATACATTTGTAGTCCCTTGGAGATGCATTGAAGTATTTTAGGACCTGTGAGAATAAAGTTTGTATCATAATCAAGAAAAAGCTGGTTTCAACTTCTCTCAAGTGCACACAATTGTGTAAGATGTTAGCACCAATTCGCAGTTTCTTTGATCAGAACGAACAAAACTATATCCATACTCCTTTTCAACTTCAATTACATGTAATTAAGTATTTCTACTTTAGAACATATGTTGAAATAGACATGTAAATAGTTGTTGTGACTTGTGAGCATAAAATCAATAATGGATGCCTATCACCAGCAATGGCTTTCATTCAAAGAAACTGCTGCAGCGCTAGCTGATTTAAAAAAAAAGGTTCCATCATTCAAAACATAAACATAAGAAACGGTAAGTCCAATTTTTATAACATGCAGTACCTAATGCCGCACAGAAGTAACAATGTCGCTTGTAGCCATGCTTGAATCATTCTGACTATCTAAAAGCATGTCAAAGAACACAGCTGCAGTAATTTGGGCCTGTCCGGCTGCTAGTTTTCACAGCAGCAGCGGCTGCCGCAGCTGGCTATGCATGCTACAAAACACTGTAGCAACAATGAAAAACTGCCTTGTACATGAAACTCTTCTTCCTCTTAATTGGCGGCAGAGCTCCTGCTTTTACTTTTAAAAAAACAACGAAAAAGTGCAGCTGTATGGCTGCCTGAACAACAGCGAGCAGCATGGTCCACAAAAGGATGCAATTCTCACTTTTCAAAAGAGTCAAACGATTTGAAGTTTGACCAAAGTTATATCAAAAGTACTAACATTTATGATACAAGATAAGTAACAATTAATTAACTATGAATTATATTTTCGTAGTAAACCTAGTTGAGACAAAAATGGCTAATACTATTCACTAAAAATTTGGTCAAAGTTAAACCAGTTTGACTTACACAAATCTCATAGTTGCATCTTTTGTAGACGGAGGGAGTAAATAGCTATCAAGGGGGGAAAACTCTTGTGAATAGAAGTCCCAAATTTAAGGATACGAGGATTCCCGTAGACATTAGACATAAGATCTCTAGCAACATCCGCAATCTGTGCCTCTGAGTACAGTGTCACACCAGCATGGTCCAGGTAAACCATCCCTGCTCCTCAAAAAACAACACATCTTTAGAAGCTAGCATATATGTAAAACTTAACATTATCCTCTTTTAACGTTCTCAGTCACGTCCTCAAAATGCAAAGCTTAGATGCAAAATTGGCATCGCTCCTCTCTTAGCCACAACAACAAAGCTCAAAACTCCCAATAAAAGAGTGTATGAGAACGGCATAAACATTAAAAAGGTTTTATCTTTCATTCTTGCAAGAGTCAACAAATTCAGTTTGAAGTTTTCGCGTATGAATTGAGTAGGTCGCGAAATCACACCTTCCAGCCGCTGGAACTCGGTGGCCCGCAGCTCGTTGATGCCCCTGGGCGCGTCCGGGTAACCATAGTCTCCACCGAACTTCTCCAAGAACTCCGCCTTGCTCTGGCCCATCTCTTACCTCTCTCTCCCCAGCTCCTCAAATCGCAATCTCAAGTTCTCAACCCGACCCAAACCGATGAGGTTACGCTCCAACAGAACTTAGAGGATCAATTCTTGTTGCTGTCCGCCCTGGATTAAGTACTAGCGAAATTGGAGGTGACCACCAAATCGGGTTCTGAATTGGTCGGGATAGTGTTTCAGTTTCTCCGCTCATGCTGGACGATACGGCGTGGGGCAAGAAAGCCACAAGCGTCTCTTGATGGCTAGGGGCCAGCGAGCGAGAGGTGGTACTGTGGAAGCTCGAGGATGCGTAAGGGCTCACGCAAGATTTCACACCTCCACGGTCAATGGAGGCACGGCCATACGGAGCCTCCGCAAGCGTCAGCAATGGCGTGGGGAGGAGACGGACACACTGTTGACCACCGCTTCTCCCCTCTGCATGGGCCGGGCTGGGCCAAACTCGTGGCAAGTGGCCATGTAGGCCCGGGCCTAAGAACGACACGGCGATACGTTGTGCCATGGCCCATGGGCCATGGGAGTTTGATGTCAAGTAAACAGGGTCAAGTTATTGAAACTTTTTTCCTAAAATTATACTGCAAAATCCGGCAGATCCCCTTGCCTGGAAAGGGCTACTCTACGAATTCAGAGTAAAATTATAGAGAATGGTATCCAAACGTCCACGTCAAAATGCCACTGGTAGTATCTTTTACAACGTACATACATGCAAACACTATCAGAGCTAGTCAATCATTCCCCCTGGAGAGATTCACCAAAATACTACATTGCAAAGGCAAAACTACACCGCCGTGCAAAAGGAACATGAGAGTCATGGATCTGAAAGTTGTGCAGTTCCAGCTGTTGTTCCTTGAGGAAATTTTACAAGATTTAGGTCGACTGTACATAAGAGCGTAAAGTAGGTCATGGACTCAACTTAGGATATGCTACAGTGTTGGCCAGCTAGTAAGTACTACGACAGGGGCTGCACTGGCTGGAAAGAGCAGGAGCTACAGAAAGAATTAAGGATGCTTCAGAACCCTCCTAGAACAGCCAGTGCTTCTTCTTCGCCTTGCGGGTCAGGAGATCTGCAATGTGCAGAAAATGAACTCAGTTAGAATCTAGTCAGAAAAGGGGGAAGTACAGAAACATACAAGTACATTTCGTTAAAAATCAATGATGAAACCTTTTTGAGTAAATTTAATCATGAAAATTTGTAAATGCACATTGGCAGTTCACCAAGTCTGCAAAATACTTACCGTCGATTCCATACAAGGAATTGTAGTGTACTTCACACCAGAAGCTTAACCAAAGCTCTGCAAAAATGCATACCAGCACTGGGATTAGATGGTAATTTGGTAATGATTCCTGCAGAACCTAAATATACTGTTGTGGTTTGCATATTGCAATAGTTGAATGCAGCATTATCTCAAGAGCAGAATAAATGCTGCCATGCTGGTGCCAAAGAAGTTTGATATATGGAACAAAACATCTGATAACTGAGTAGCAGAGTATCCAAGCTCTTACCTTTTGTGGGAGTTAGATCCCTAGGGACTATCTCAATTAAGCAGGTGTCTTTAAATGATGTCAGCAAACAAATTTTGGCACCAAACTGTGAGAATTTGAGATACAAAAGGTGTTAGAAAATTTATAGTCTACAGACATTAGACGTACTGATGGTGCAATGATAATGGGGCTGTTCAGCTGATGGTTTCTACTTCTGATAAGTCAGCTGAAGCTGATTTGTTGTGAGACAAAAACACTGTTTCATAGCTGATAAGCCAAGCTGATAAGTTCAAGCGAATATTGATCAGAACAAGATATCTCTAGACTCCAGAGGGAACATAAAATACAAATGAAAACCTGACTAATCAACCAAGGGATCATGTTTGAAGTTAAACTTTATAATTCAACGAATGATAACAGAGCAGAAAAATTTCAGACATCTTTGACAAGGATTCCCAAACAAATTCACAGCAGGCACTTAATATCCACCTTTTTTAGTTTCATGACTTAAGAGTTGGATTCATAGGGACAAAGGATCCTCTCGGTTAAGGTATAATTAGAATTAGAAAAGGAAAAGGAAATTTACGTGAGAAAAAATGCATTATCTACCACGATCTCAATTGGAAATGGGAACAAAGCCGGTTTGGCACCACGGCTGGCTCGAGGGCGAAAGCACCCAGGTATCTAGCGCCTAATCTGTTCAGGCTGGTTACTTGAAAAAATAGGACGGTCTGCCAGGAACTGCACAATGGGAACTGGATCAGATCACTACGGACTTGAATCACAACATCCATACAAATCCAAGAATTCATCGGCCTTTGGGTCAGACTACAAAACGTTCAGCTGCAGCCTGACATTGAAGACTCAATTACTTGGAAGTGGACGACTGATGGAAATTACTCCACTCGATCGGCATATAGGATTCAATTCCGGGGAACACATCGCAAATTTCAGTAGAACCTCATCTGGAAGGCACAAGCGGAGAATAAATGCAAAGTTCATGCATGGATCCTCATGCATGACAAAATTCTAACGGCGGATAATCTGCAGAAACAAGGGTGGCCGCATCAGGAGCACTGTATCCTGTGCAATGGACCTCTAGAAACTGGGTTACACCTCTCTTTACTGTGCCCCTTTGCAAGAGCCGTCTGGGATCAAGTTCTCTCATGGGAAAACTTCACTGTGCACCTCTCTCAACAAGACTCCACATGCATTGCCAAATGGTGGGAAGAGGCAGCAAGCAAGGTGCCTAAACAAGACCACAGGCGCTTCAATGGAGTTCTAATTTACATTGTATGGAACCTATGGAAGGAGAGGAATAGGAGGATTTTCGAAAACGGGTATAGAACGGTGCAGCAGGTAGCCTCCTTGATCAAAGAGGATATAGTACAAAGACGCTGGGCTGTGTCCTTTGTTGGGTAATCTACTGTGTGGTGATAGGTGACATTATCCTCCGGTCCTAAGACCAACGTGTTCGGCACTAGTGGTGCCTTTGTACATATAACTTCTTTTCTTACTTAATTGAGCGGCATAGCTCCTGCCTTTTTTTTCAAAAAAATGCATTTAAAAGGATTTACTCAAAGAAACCAATCAACCATCTTGAAACTGAAACTCTGAAAGTGCTATTTTACCCGATCTGCAGCCGCTTGTAAGGTCAGATGATCCCCCCATTCACCAGATCTGCAGAAAAATCCATATATGAGTATATGAATAACCGAGCATCACTCTCTATAGTGAAAATGATAAGAAACTCAGATCTGTTAGCAAACCTTTTCATTTTCTTCAAGTACACCTTATATTCCATTGGTACATAACTTTCATATTGTTTTCTGAATTCCTTCAGCTGATAAACAGGGAATTCCAGTACAACTATGTATTTAATGTATTGTATATTTATTTACCAAATAAAGGCAGTGGACAACCCAAAAAACTAACCTGTTTCATGACAGCTTTTCTCACATGCTTATGATAGTCAGGATTGCGAAATATCTGGTCAGCCAAAGCTCGGAACTGTAACAATATGTCATTTAGAAAATAAAAGAGTTAAGGGTTCAGAATAAAGAAACAAGTAATGAAGCCAAGTGTTGCTGAATGACTTAATAATTTTGAGCTTAGATAACACGGGCCAATTAACCCTGTTAGACGTATATGCATCGTACTTGTGTCTATCATACCGGATCTGGTCTAGCTGATATGCATTCCTGTAGGCCGATCAATGCTTAATTGTGCATTGTAAACCGTACATTGTAATCCCCTTTCAAACCCTTCAGTATGAGATAACAGTGGCACTCTATATGGAAACTACATGACAATTTTCAAGCAAGCTAGCAGAATCATGCTAATTGGAAACAGCCCTGATGATGTGGCGTATAGCATTTTAAATAAATGGAATGTTAATTTACACTAAGTACTTGTCAACAAACCTGACAATTCCCATCCCCCTCTATCTGAAATTCAGCCAAACCATAAGTGCCCAACCTGTCAAAAGAAAGGTAACTGTAAGTGAAATTAACATAAAAGTTAAAACAATAAAATAAAGTGCAGTAATCCTCATACTCTTTTTTGACCAAAATATGTAAATTTCCAATCTCCACAGGAGCATCTCCAACAGATTACTTACATCACATCTCCTAAAAGTCTATATAGGTGATCTACTATTAGTAGTGTGGCCTTTTCTTCTCCCAACAGATTACCAATACCTTTAAATTGGATAGGGGAGAGTTGGTGGATCACCTACATTTGAGGGAGAGGGGTGGATTTTAAGTAACTACTTAAAACTTTTAGGTGTTGGGGACAGGATAAGTACTCTGTTGGAGCAACCACAATCTCTTATATTGCATATTTTTGGTATTGGGGATGAGATAAGTAATCTATTGGAGGGAGATGCTCTACAATCTAGTTTTTTGTGTTGTATTTATGTGTGAGATTGAGAAATGCTTTGTGTACCTATCCAGCAATCGCTCGTGGTCCAGTGTTGCATTATCAAAATTGGGTATTTTTCCATTAACTCGGGGAGTATACTGCCAAAGAAGAGTGCATTAACTGATCATAAAACTTAGCAGAAAACTTTTTACTACAAAATAAACTAAACTATAGACTTACAGTATGATTGACTGTTTTAACAATGCATAATATATAGATCAATTACTTTGACTATCGAGATTGATTTAGCACACTTGCCAAAACTGATCACTATTGACTTCTTTCATGACGTATTTTTTTCTCGAATGCACAGGAGAGCTGCATGTCATTATATTATATATATAGAGAGAGAGAGGTGTATCTATTGCCAAACAATATATTATATTGCTTTTCTTATATATTGTCATTAACAGTAAAACACTTTCAAGCATAAAACTAACAGTACCACTTCTGTATCACATCAGTGGCCGAGCCAAGATTTTTATGGAGCCTGGGCGAGACGCAACATAATACTTACACATAATATAGATAATTGGACATAACATCGAACGTGCTTGAAAGATAGGATAGCAGAAAGTTTGTTCTGCAATTGTTGTGTGGCTCTACAGACTATACAGCTCCTCTGACCAATTAGCATTTTTTTTATATATACCTCTGACCAATTAGCAAAGCAACCTGCTTGATCTTGATGTGCTAGCCTAATGCGTGTTCAGCAGGTGAGCCCGGGCACCGGCCCAGGGTGGCCGGGCCTTGGCTCGCCACTGTATCACATAAAACTTTATGTCGTTTGACAATAGTTGGCTAAAATTTACTAGTTTGATCAGGGCACCTTAGCAAAAACAACAGAAAGGGTATTGAGTACTATGCTGACAAAAGTTATGTTCAGTTGGGAAACAATACAGATGCAGGTCCAAGACATCTATACATAAGTTCAAGAATGGAAATCAGAGGAAAACTGCATTAAGGATCAAACATCAAGTCGCTCTGGATTACCGGGATTGACCCCAAATGGGACAGGCGCTTCCCAAGACTATGTCCACTGCTGCTATTTGCTTGGGCAAGGAGGCTACCAATGGTGACGCTTCGGACAGGCGCTTCCTCCTCGCTCTCTTGAGTACTGCTGCTGATGCTTGAACTAGAGCTTTACTAGTGCGGTCCTGCTGTCCCGACATGCTATCTCCAAATGAACATTGACAATATCTCAGACCAACAATAGGCTTGAGAGAAACCAAGTAGCAGCTTAGTTTAATAGTCAAGCAATATGCATTCACATGATGGCAGGAAGGAAAAAAAAGGCTCAAAGCAACTAGAAGCAACCAACAAGCTTCTTTCCCAGCATTACACTCCAAAACACAACACTGTTTCGCTGATTGGAACTAGGGAGTATAATGCCTGATTGGATTCTTACTTCTTATCGTATTACTTCAAGGGTTCCATGGAGAATGCTTGATGGGATTGTCTGGAGATTATATTCCAATTCCAACAAGAAGCGAACAATACAGCAGTACAGCAAAATGAGGGTCCCCTGACTCACTCATTAGCATGCATAATTCCTGTGTCCGATAGTTACACACATTTCCAGTTCCCGATGCCTCTAACACTTGGTTTTTACAGGATCGAAGGAACATTCCAGGGATGTTTATCACGGTAATCGAACTGACCGACCAACCAATAATAATAATAAACAAACAAGAAACGAAATGGATAGCTAGAAATAAGCTATGTTTCACTCGTGCTAGCAATCCAGTATCCAAGAGCCCAAGTATTAATTCACCCAACAACCTCACTCGTCTAAATAACTAGTATTGCCAGAATTTAATTAACCAGTCGACAATCGGATCTTGGATTAATCGATACAAAAAGGGGGGAAAGATGTTCTTCTTTCTAGATGTCAGTTAGAGCTAAGAACCAACTATCACTCTATCAGGCGATCTTAACTCTTCAGTAGAAATCCTTCAGAAGGAAGTTCAAGGAGGGAGCTATTAATCGCGAAGAAATCTACCATGAACAGTAATCAGGTGAAGAAATCACCCAAGAAACAGTCAAGAAGCAGGACCTCACTAGCCGGAGACACGCTACTTATGGAGCCGAATCGCGATCGCCAGAGAACCCAGCTGCGAATCGGATGAACTGATCGAACTGAGGAGGGGAACTTACTAGCTTGCCGGATCGAGGCCGTGGTCCGCGCGGCAAGCGGCGCTCGAGTTGCGCAGGCAGCAGCTCACTCTCCCGGTGGGGGCGCCGGAACGAAGAAAGAGAAACGTCGCCTTTTTCTTTCTTTTTGCTGTCGGGCTCAATTCCTGCGAAAATGGCAGGCACCGCCCTTAAGTCAGCAACATTTTCGGAAACACCCATGAGAGTTTCGATATGCCGATCTAGTAGGTTTCCAACTCCGAATTTTTTATTTTTTAGCCCTTATTTTAAAAAAATCACAAATATGCCCCTAAAAGAACGATTTCAAAATATGAACCCTGAGGTGGGCGTCATCGTTGCTAGCGTCGAGCTTATACGTAGGCTCGAAACAGACGTGGCGGTGACCTGGCAGGAAGCTCGGCGCCGTAGATCTTGGCGCCGAACTCGGCGCCAGTGCTCGACGCTAGGGTGACTGGCGCCGAGCCTGTCTTACGTATGAGCCCCAATCCTTTCTCTCTTCCTCTCCCTCTCTCTCGCACCTCCCTCGCCCGAGCAGCGCACCGCGCCGCGCCGGTCCCTGCGCCCACCCCGCGCCCGGCCGCCCGCGCCGCGCCACCACCGAGGTCACGCCGCGCCCCGCGCCCCCGCCGGACTGCCGCGCCCCTTGGCCGCGCCAGTCCCCGCGCTCGCGGCTCACCAAACGTGCCGTCCGCGCCCGCGACCGCCTTGGTCGCGCCCCGCCGCGCGGGTGCCGTGACCATGACCGTGCCGCCCGCCACCGCCGGCCTCAGGCACACCCGCCGTGCCGCCCACGCCCGTCGAGCCGGCCTCGCCGCGCGGAGCACCGGGCTTCCCGCGCCCGCTGCGCGCCACCGCCGTCCTCGGCCGCGCCCCCACCGGCCCCGGCACCTGCAGCGACCGGCCATGCCACCGCCGGCTCGGCTCGTCTGCCTGACCCACGCGCCGGTGTCCGCTGCGACCCCATCGACATCCGCGACTCCGTCGTCGGACAGGTAAAAATTGTGACCTTACAATGTGCGTACTTACTTAGCTTTGATTGTAGTGTAGTAGTTATGGTATTTGTTATTTACTAGTTAATGTGATGACTCATATAGTTGATTTAGTTAGTGATCTAGTGAGATAGATATGTAGATAGATAGAAACATAGATACATAGGTACATAGATATAGTTAGATAGCTACTTAGATATGTAGTTATATATTTAGTTAACAAAATATGATCTAGTTATTTAGTGAGTACACTGTTTTTATGTATGTAGTTATTATCTTATTTACTTAGTTTGTAGTTAGAAAGTACTTGTTAGGTACTATCTATCGTCTAATTTGGACTAAAGGACATGTGTTTCGTTATGTGTTTGAACTAGATGGACAACCTAGTGACCATATATCATGGATGCACCGTTGAATATGATCGCTATGGATATGTTGAGTTTGTTGACATGCAAAGCGTGCCTGTACTATTCAATGATAGGCCTTCATTTAGTGAGATGGTTGCAAGGGCTCGGGAGGAGCTGCATTGCCTTGGAGATGATGGCATTGCAGTTGAGGGTGTACTGCACCTAGATTCTCCTCCCAACATCCTCAGGCGAATGATCACAATTAGGTGTGCGGATCAGTGGGAGAACTATGTGAGATCGGCTATGAAGAGCCAGCTGCAATGTTTGGACGTGGTTGTGCGTCGGGTGTTAGTTGAAATTATGAATGATTCGGAGCCATATGAGATGGCAATGGCTCTTGATTCCGATGATGATAAATCTGTTGGAGAGGCGATAGAGAGTGATGTTGAGGCATATCTTCAAATGCCTGCGAGTATGGGTAATTGCTATTACTATTTATTTCTTCAATATGTTTCTCTTCTATATAACTTACATGACATACTTATTGTAGTCTTCCTTGGCCGAAGAAAAATATGGGTTCACTAGGTGGGTCGATCATCGACCTATTTATCCACATGCAGAGTGCATCTACTACCTGCAGGGCCGTATCTTCGATCTAGAAAGAGAAGTTAGCAAATGTTACAAGGATGATGGGACGGGGCGACAACAACAATGATACCGATTCACGGAGACACTCGCAATGATCCATATTACACTTGCCCTAACCACAAGAACAAGGGGCCTCCCCCGTCACCCCCGCCGCCACCACCGCCAACAATGAAAGGCTACTGTGGAGAAGGTGCAACACAATTTGCTACGTGGCCACACTATTAGGACGGCTTTATCTTATTTACATGCCACATCTATATGTTTGTTATTTGGTTTAATTACCTAAGGCATGTTAGGTTTAGTCGAAGGAACTCTGTACCTTAGTTCGGTACATGTTCTCACATGCCAGTTTCATGTGTTTTGTGTGTTGAATTATATAATGCCCTACTTCGTTAGATTTTATTTACAGCACGTGATCATATTTCAATACGTCCGTAATATTAAGCCGAATATTACGACCATAAATAATAAAAACAACCACATAATGAAAAGTCCAGTACTATGCCACATTAAACAACATAATAATATTAGAAGTACGTGTCGACACTAGACATAGGGGGTAAATGCACTTTTAAATCCTCAGTCTGAAACATACTGAGTAAGCAACTCATCATCCGAGTATCAGTCCTCTACCACAACCATGTTGCTGTGGCTAGACTCACCTGCATTACTCTGACCTGCCTGTCGCCTGTAGTAAGCGGCCTCCGCTTCATTAGCGGCCTCAGCGGCCTGAGTAAAGAACACGTCGTCATCCTCCTCCGTCTATAAGCCCGCTTCTGCTAGAGCGATGAGCTCGCTCAGTCTGCTAGTGTCGTCCTAAGCCTCATCCGTCTGCAAGCCCGTGTCTGCTAGAGCGATGAGCTCGCTCAGTCTGCTAGTGTCGTCCTCAGCCTCCTCCGCCTGTAAGCCCGCCTCTACTAGAGCGATGAGCTCACTCAGTCTGCTAGTGTCGTCCTCAGCCTCCTCTGCCTGTAAGCCCGCCTCTGCTACAGCGATGAGCTCCCTCAGTCTGCCAGTGTCGTCCTCATCCTCGTCCCCCTCATCAGACAACACAATCGATAATTGAACGGTGCGACCAGCTCGTGATCTATGCTCATCTAACTTCTTTTCCTCATACCTTGCACGAGCCATCTCTGCAGCATGTTCCTCGTTGCATCCAATCCCTACATGTATAAAATGTAATCAGTTAGCAATGCGATTATATTATATTTAAAATCAGGTAACGAAAAAAATTGGCTTTCAAGCACTCATTGGCACATAATGCAACAACATGCTCGTTCAAGACCTGCATTTGTACTCTTGTCTCCTCCCTTGCCTCCTCCCTTGCTCTCTCCTCCTCTAACGTCATCCGTCTCTCCAATCCCCATTTATTAAGCCCAACATCGATCAGGTTACAAATACCGCGCTGTCTAGCAAACTCACGCATCTTTTCTTTGTGATGTTTAACGAATAGGTTGACGTAGTCAGGTCCATATCCCCTCTTCCGTGTAATTACTTGCCTCCCGTTCAGTTCATCTAAGAACTTAGCTTATCATCATAACATTCCCACCTGCATTTCCTAGTGCTCTGTTCAAACGAAAAATTATATCATATATGCCTTGGCAGAACAAACAAAATACGATTTCATGTTTATCACAAAAAAATGAACCTCATCATAGTCAACCATATGGCCGCAATAATGGCTTATTCCAAGCTCCGAAAGGGACTGGGCCATAGTTGGATTTAACACCACATTCGCACATAACAAGAGGTGCTTTATAAATTATCATTTCTTTCTTTTTTTCCTTAACCTTTCGCGGTTTTTCCGGCCATTGGTTCTTAGGACCATACAACCACTCATTGAAACGACACTTCACCATTGAAAACACCTAAATAAGGTGACATTAGTACACGCACACATAGAGCTAAATATTTAAACAGATATACTTTTCACTTACTTCGTGTTTGTTCGGACACACAAATTCCAAAGTATTCTCAGGGTTTATCACGGCTCGATCTCCGCATTCACACAGAGGAGGTTCATCGAGTTGTCTA